CCACGGCGCCACCCTGGGGCGCCCTCCACTGACCTCCCCGCCCCCGCAGCACCGCGCCCCACGGCGCCACCCTGGGGCGCCCTCCACTGACCTCCCCGCCCCCGCAGCACCGCGCCCCCGGCGCCACCCTGGGGCATTGGGGGTCCTGACTCCCGGAGGGCGAGGGCCGGGGGTGGCTGTGGCGGGCGGCAGCGCCCCCTGGTGGCCAGTTACCTTTCTTGTACTTGTGGACGGGGATTTTCCTCAGCTGCTCCTTGGAGAGCCGGTTCCGCAGCAGCCTCTTGCGGTGCTGCACGCAGCGAACGATCTGCCAGCACAGACCGGGGGGCGTCAGGGGGGTCCGGGACTTCCCAGCCCCCGCTCCGACCCCCCAGCCCCCCTGCTCTGACCCCCAGCCCCCACTCCCCTCCCAGAGCCCGGGAGAGAACCCAGGAGTCCTGGCTCACAGACCCCCTCGCCCTAACCCACCAGCCCCCACTCCCAGAACTGGGGAGAGAACCCAGGAGTCCTGGTTCCCAGCCCCCCCCTGCTCTCACCAGCTGGGGGTCTGGCCCCATTAGCTCAATCTCACAAGTAACCCAAAGTTCGGAGGCCGTTTGCTCCTTTGTGCCCCATTGGGAAAGAAAATGGGGCTGAGAAACTTCTCCCGGATCCAGGCCTGGGCCCGTCCGTGCTGGTCCCTTGCCCGTCCCCATGGGACCTTTTCCACGGCAGCGTGTCCCGTGTCCACAGGGACGACCCGGGCCCAGCCCCAGGCGCCAGGATTCACACGACTGGGATCACTCCCCCGGGCCAGCGCTGGACCTGGGATCTCTTTCTGGCGCTTCTGCCCACCTGCTGGGTGACCTAGGGCGAGTCGCTTCATGGCAGTGTGCCTCAGTTTCCCTGTTTGGCCAGGGGGGCTAATGACACTGACTCCTGCTGTAACGGGCTGTGGGGCTGGGAAGGGCGGTGGCAGAGCCAGGGCTGGGTCCTGCCCGGGCTGCAGCGCTGCGTTCCCATGAGCTGAGCTCTTATATTTAACGTTTACATTGTGGTGGGCACCTAGGGATCAACCAGGCAAAGGGGGCTTGATTTGCATGAATCCATTTTTGGGGGGGAAGGATCAGAACGGAGGTTTCCCGGCTACTTGCTGCCTGGTTCCCAGTTTTTGCCGGTCGGGAACAAGTTACCGAGTGTGGGAAACAGGGAGGGGAAATGGCCCTTCCCCACCCCCCTTTCTCCGGTTGGTTGAGGCAGCGAGACAGTGTGAAAAGTGGGGTTTGGCCCCGTCTGGGTGAGAACGCTGGGAAACGGTTCACGGGTGTGACGTGGCTTCCCCTGACCTGCGCAGGGCTTGGTCCCGTGGCCAACAGAGGGACTGGTTTTTTTAAAAAGGGAGAGAGAAAAATTAATTTTTTTTGAGGGTTTAAATGGCCCCACCCGATCCCCCCTCCGAGACCCCCTCACACCTCTGTGGGGATTTCTGGGGGGCAATATTTCGGGGTCTCCGAGGAGGATTTTGCAGTAGGTCAAACCCCAAACCCCGTGGCCATAGAGCTGGAAGCCGGGAGTGCCGGCCGTGGGGGGTGCTTTCTCCAGCGCTTGTAGCGGTGACACAAACATCACAGCCCAGGGGAGTGAGGCCAGCGCCTCGGGGATGGATGGGACTGAGCCAACTCCCGGCATCTGGCCCCAGGCAGCCTGGCAAACTCCACAGCCACGTTTTAGGGCTTTGGCTCTTGCGAGCTCAATGATTATGTCAATCTGCCGCGCCCCAGATTAACGAGGGAGCCTAATTATTCTCTTGGCTTGTGTGACGCGGGGCGCCTGGGGCAGCCCACACTGGGAATGCCAAGGTCAGGGCAGGCTGCAGAAGGGAGAGCAGCTCCTCCCAAAGCTGGTGGGTAACACTGAAGTTAAACTCCCCCACCCATTACACACGGTGCTCCCTGATCCCCCAGCCTGGTTATGGAGAAACTGAAAAAAGCAATTCCCCCCGCCCCCCCCGCCGCTCCTTACTGCATTCCAGTTCTCTGGTCCCAGCCCGCACCCAGCTCCAGTCCAGTGAGAAGTTATCTAAAAACTCTGCACATATATACAAAATGTTCTTCTGCCCCCAAAGGGCCAGCCACAGGTCAATAGGAGTTTGGATTTTATGCAAAATACCGCGCTGTCGGCCAGTCCTTTAGTGTCTAAAACTAAAGGTTTAGTAGAAAAGAAAAGAACAGAACAGGCAGAGTGATGTGAAACGGTAAAGCCCTCGGATACATACAGTGATTTCCAAGTCCATAGATCAGGTTCTTAGCAGCGCTGGTGAGGTTGCTGGCTTGAAAGTCCCTCTGGAGTCACCCACTGCTCGGATGGGTCAGTCAGTCCTTGCTCAGAGCTTCGTTTCTAGAGACGTGACTCCAGGGCGGAGAGGAGCAGGACTGAAGACAAACTGGAGATGATGCAGCTGCCTTTTATGTCCTTTGCCATGCGGCTCGTATGTCTTTGTCCCAAACACACAGCGCATGGGCATGGAGAAGCTCTTGAAGTCTCCTGTCCACAGGCCTGTCCCTCCATGGCTTCTCCAAGTGCCTTCATTGTCCAGCTGATGGCCTTTAATAGGCCATCGGACAGAGGGGCTAGTGCTGCTGCCAATCTGTCCGGGGGTGTCACTCAGACACACAGCACACGTTTGGAAATACAGATCTACCCCACCTACCTGTAACTCGTGATACAAAGGTGATGTACACATATAAACATCATCATCATCCTTGGCAAATCATGACGTTTTCACTGATCCTGTATGTGGCCTCTCTGCTCAGAGTCATCGCAATGATACAATATTGGCATTAATAATACCACAAAGTGTCTCCCATATGCCATGCAGCGGCCCAGCTTGTTTAACGATTTCTTAGCGCCGTACAAGAGAACAGCACCGACGAGCCGGCGGAACTCACTGCTACAGGATGTCGCAGCAGCCGAGAGGGGTCAGAAAACCAGTGGAGGTTTATAGGGATAATGAGAACATCCCCACTTCTGTTAGGAGCAAAATGGCCTGAGAGCTCCCAATCTTCATGCTTCAGGGCTCTAAACCCACCTTTGCCTATTGGCGGTCAGGAAGAAATGTCCAATAAGGGTGGGTTGTTCTCTTACTGTCCTCGAGGGGGTTGCTGAAGCAGTTGGCGACGATAAGTGACCGAGCCGGAGAGACCCACCCCCGTCTCTGGGACAGAGTGGCAATTTCTGTCTTTCCTCGGCCCACAGACAAGGGAAGTCCTCAGGTGGGGCAGAGCGAAATATGCCGAGCGGTGGCCATCGGACGAGGCGCCCTGGGATGCCACAGAGCCGGCAGCTCAGAGGATTTTGAGGGGCTGCGTGTTGCCCCCCTTGTCGTGCCAGCAGGGGTCGAAGATGGGGTAGACAGGGTTGTTGCCGAAGGATGTGTGGAAAGTGTGGATGTGGGTCAGTGTGTTGCGGTGATCGACGTTGTAGAAGGAGACCTCCCCGTCCGTGTAGTCCAGGTAGACCCCGATGATCTCAGGGCGGGGACAGATATCCAGGGGCCATGGATTGGTGTCAAATATCCAGTACTTTTTCCCGGCCTTCTGCCGGTCGCAGCCAATCAGCCAGTAGCCCTCGGCACAGACCTTGCTAGGGGGCCACGGCCACCACTTCATTTCGATCAACCTTCCCTGCCTCTTGGCTCGGTCCGAGACCACCCCCAGGTTCCAGCGCCACTTCGGGCCCACGAACACCTCCCAGTAGTGCTGCCCCGCGCTGAAGCTCTGCTTGGCCACCACGCAGTTCGCTGTGTCAAATCTCCTCGGGCTGGAGTCGACATACCTTCGTTGACTGACGCATGTCACCTCCTTCCCGTCCTTCGAGATCTCCAGGTTAGGGTGAGCCGTGTCCGGGTCCAGGGATAAAACTTCCTTCTCTAGAAAGTGAAAAGGGACTGAGGCTCAGGACGCCTGGGTTCTCTCCCCAGCTCTGGGAGGGGAGTGGGGGCTGGTGGGTTAGAGCAGGAGGGGGGGCTGGGAGCCAGGACTCCTGGGTTCTAGGCACAGATCCCAAGGCCAGAAGGGACAATTGTGATCATCTCGTCTGGACCTCCTGGGTTATGTAGGCCAGAGACCTGCCCTAGAAGAAAATTCTCAGAGCAGAGCTTTCAGAAAACTCTCCCGTCTTGATTTAAAAAGTTGTCCTTGACGGAGAATCCACCACGACCCTGGGTAAATTGTTCCAAGGTTAATTCTCCTCACGGTTAAAAATGTATGTCTTATTTCCTGCCTAAATCTGTCTAGCTTCACCTCCCAGCAATAGTTCGCGCCAGACCTTTCTCTGCTAGACTGACTGACTCTTATGAAATGCTGGTTGTTCCCCAGGTAGGTAATTACAGACTGGGATCAAGGCACCCTGGAGCTTCTCTTCGTTAAGGTAAATAGACCGAGCTCCGGAGTCTCTCACTCTAAGGCAGGTTTCTAACCCTTGAATCGTTCTCGTGCTCTTTTCTGACCCCGCTCCAGTTTATCACCAGCCCCCTTGAATGGTGGGCACCAGACCTGGACACGGGACCACCCAGTGCCGAATCCAGGGAAATCCCACCTCTGCTCTGCGCCTGCTGGCGATTCCCCTGTCCAGCCACCCCGGCAGCACGAGCGGTTCTGGCCCCAGCTCCCGTTTGGCTCTGGCAGGGTGCAGAAGGGGACATGCGGGGTTCGGAGAATATCAGCACTGTAGGGTCGGGAGAGGCGCTGTCTGTGTTTATCCCAATCCCAGCTGCTTTGAGCTGTGTTCTGATCACATCACGCCCCAGCCCCTGCCCTGACCCCCCCAAACCCAGAGCTGCCCCCTGCACCCCAAAACCCTCATCCCTGGCCCCACCCCAGAGCCTGCACCTCACAACGCAGAGCCTTGACCCCTTCCCGCATCCCAACCTCCTGCCCCAGCCCAGAGCGCCTCCCACACCCTGAACACCTCATTCCCAGCCCCACCCCACAGCCCTCACCCCAACCCTCTGCCCCAGCCCTGACCCTCTCCTACACCCCAAGCCCCTCATCCTTGGCCCCACCCCAGAGCCCTGACCCCCTCCTGCACCCCAACCCTCTGCCCCAGCCCTGACCGTCTCCTACACCCCAAACCCCTCATCCTTGGCCCCACCCCAGAGCCCTGACCCCCTCCTGCACCCCAACCCTCTGCCCCAGCCCTGACCGTCTCCTACACCCCAAACCCCTCATC